ATTCAGTGTACGCATCTTGATAACATCTAGGCTTTGAATTGTGGAAGTCTATTGAAATTAGTAGTTTAACAGGCTGTAGGTATGGAACACCAGTGATTCTTCTATATAATTGGCATTCAGCTTTAATTTTTTTTGGTCCTCTTAAGTACTTTGTATGTACAGTACTTAAAGTTAACAGGCGTTTTGACAGGTTTTCTGTTTTCCACCATTTGTTTGTGGAAATGTGTCTTGTGCAGAAGTTACTGTGTTTACTCATGGATAACATGCAGTTTTTCAAAATTATTCATTCTTAAAATTATGTTACATATAAAATATATATTTAAAGCAGGGAAGGAAGTAGCTCTTTCTTTTTTCAATACAGTAGAATGTTATCAAATACAATTTTAAAGTTGATATTTATTTGTCAGTAATTTGCAGTTTCATTTAGATTTAATGCTAACTCTGCCTTCCTGATCGTCAAGACAGCTCGTAGTACTTTTTTTTTTTACCCATATTTCATTTATTTTGAAGCTTGTACATGAATACTTGATTTTTAATGAAAGAGCACAGAAGATTGTTTCTGTCAGTGGCATCACAGGATGTGCTATTCCAAACTACTCCATTATGTCTTGCTCTCTATGAGCATGAGCTCTCAGGTCTTATTATTTCTGCATATACCTACAATTACTCTCTAATTTCTGTAGTGCCTTTTATAATTTAATTACTAATACATGTTGCACTTCTAATTGAATATTGGTAATACTATCATTCTGTTATATTTTTTAAATTCATCTGCATGGTTGTTGTAATACATGCTGTACTTCGTATTTCTCATGGAGACTTCAAAGAAGTCCTTTTAGTCTGAATTTACGTGTATGCAGTGATTCGTGCCAGCCTCGCAATGAATGTGATTAATATCACATCGGTACTCTGTTGGAGTCATTCACCTGGTTAACAACTGTGCTCAGTAATTGCAAGTATGGTTCCTCATTGTGTTCATATCTGTTATTATTTATATTACCACTACATATGACCTATAAGAAATGTGTAAACATCATTTGTTGCAGAACCAGTCAGGAATTCCATAGATGACATAAATAGGGGAATATTTATCTGAGAGTGAATTTGCCCAATATGTGTTTTATGCTTTGCTTCTTTTATACGTTTTTGTTTACCTGGTTTTATCTTCCGAATTGATTTTATTGGTAAGGAGTTTAATTTTCTCTCAGTGTTTAATCTTTCACAGTTTATCTTGTCCTTGTGCAATAGAGCCATTAGTTCAGGTGGAAATGTGTTTCATTTTCATCACTATGGAGTAGCAGATTAAGCATAACTGACAGTACAGTTTTTAGAAACAAATGGTAGAAATATGTTCATTGTTAAGTTTTGATGAATTGCGATTTTCAGTTTTATCTCTATATGAATTAAAATTGTTTCGGTTTGTTAAATAAGACATTGAGAAAGCTTAGAGAAATACTTTCACATGAATTTCTTGATTGATTACCGACCACTTTGCCACCTGTGAAAATGTTGTGGTAGAAATTTCATGCTTAATTTCCTTTATCAAATTTCCAGTACCTGAATGGTTACAAACATAACCTCATTGAAGTGTACAATGTCTCTCTTCCTTTCTTTAGCAATACAAAGTGGACTGAAAGATACAAATAGACACTTCCATTCTCATGTAACTAGAAATGATACATGAAGATCACTTTCATCTGTTGGTGTCTGTGCATTTGATGTATCAGCCATGGTCATTGTCTTCCATCACAATCCTGTTTGAAGCTCCTACAGTTCTCAACATTGTTTTACCCAAACAAGCATTATTTAGTACATAAATTACTATTCTACCACTTAGAGTATTGTGATTGATTTGAGTGAAGAGGAAATTTATAACCTCATTCAAAGCTAATCAAACTTGCTGCTTTGGAATTTGACTTGTACAGTAGATTAGTGTTCATGTAGTGTACAGTAGTCATTTAAGTGTACATTATATCTTTCTTGATCCAAAATTTAAACATCTTACAAGTTACTAAAATAAGTAAATAAAATAGACACACATAAACTCCATGGATTCCTTAATAAATTATGTGATGGATTTTGAATTAATATTAAACAAGTCATATGTGAGTATATGAATGATTAATTAAATACCATGCCACAATAAGAATGAAGCAAGACCCATTGTTATTCCTCTATGTTAATCTTCAGTTAATGATGAATATTAAATCTTCATTTAATAATCATTAGACTATTAAATACAGTATGATGATTTTAAAATATAACATATAATGCAGGAAAGAATGAATGTTTCATTTATGATGCACAGAAAATTTACCGAATACTGTTTAAATGTCCTTATAAATGAGTAAATGTCTGTTACAAGGAGGTAGAAATTTTGGTTTTTTAAAGAGGAAAGTGTAGCCAATATGTAACAGGCACTTAATGTGAAGCTGTCATATTCAAGTGATATGGTATTCATGGTGAGTACATAAATACAAATGTTACCTGAGATGTTAATAACAAATTTATCAGTTGTGTACCTATTTACTTATGGATCAAAGGTTTCCTGTGATGCATAACAATAAACAGAATTGAAACTTGTAGTTAAATTCATTACAAAGAACTTCTGAAAATTTGTTCTTCTTTTCTAAAGCATATTTCATAAAGTATATCAACCAATTCCCGTATTATTCTGCATTAACTCTGGACTAAAAAAATTTCTATAAATATATTATATTAATTTGTTAATTAGCATTAGTTGAAATTTTGTTGGTAAAAAAGGGTTCAGGTTTCTTTCATTCTTTGCAATAATTTGATGTTCTTTTCAGTAGCGCATTGACATACTACCTCCGTTAGATTTATTTTATACTTCTCTTGCATTGCTTATAAAATGTATTTTCGTGTGTTAGTTTGCAAGTAATTGTGATCACAGATGTTTTATGCAATTTGTAGTATTGGCCTGTTATTGTTTTGTGATCGTGTAACATACAGCGGAGTCCTTCCTGAGAACCTGATTTTAATCCTGAACTAATTTAAGATATTCCTTGCCTGTGAAGGGACTCCTGACATTTATGATGGTGAAGTGGGAAATATTTCTGTTTGTGAGTTTAGCAGTGATATTTTTGTCATATACAGGCTCAGATTCAGGCAGTTCTGTTAATCTGTTAACAAACAAGCTCAACAGTTTGCGGAAGTGAGAACTTTGGTCTGCCACGCACATTAGAACATCCAAGCAAAGCTGTAGATAGCTTGAGATAATAATGAAACTGTTTATATGCAGATGATTTTGTGTGTTATAAAGTGTTTTGAAAAAAAAATTACTTGCATTACTTTGTGTTCAGAAATCATGAAAGCAGACTAAAATATAATGCTCTTGGCTGCAAGTTGTTTTTTTTTTTTAAAAAAAAATTGAAATTCTAGTGAGGAAATGGTTCTTTCGTGAAGGAAACTCATTCTAATGCAGTTTAAAATTAATATGGATTACAGTTTATAACATGAACAGAATCTGTGTTATTTCATGAATCTGCCCATTGTACTTCTTATATCTTGAACAGGTGAGAAGTAAATTAAGAATAAAAGTTTTGTCATAGAAATATTACAGAGATCTTGACTTTGAAAGATTGTTTTTTGACATTGTATGTTATGTCATACAGACAGTGCAGAAGGCAAAAGTGTTACAGGAAAGAAGAAATATACATTCTTTGAGAATGTAAGTCAGAAAAGTAAGTGATAATTGCCACATCTCCTGTACAACATACCATAGTCATATTCCAGGGATGATGCTTCTGAAATTTTAGAGAAGAGAAATTGGGAAAACTTATAATGTTGTGTTGTTAAAGGAACACACCTTCCTATCTGTTATTCTGGTAGGGAAATTTTAGGAAGATGTGTTCACATATCATTTGTTTGACAGAGTGTTTCAGTCAAAATTTCTTTGCAGTGATTGTATTAAGGAGGGATGTTTCTTTATAATTAACCAGCACCAGTCACAGTAGACTACACTCATAATTTTGTAGTGGGTTACAAGTATGGTGTTGATAAACTTGGATATGTGTTGAAATTATGTACAAACTGATAAGTTTGGCTCATGCAGAAGCTGTGGAATGTGCTTAAAGTGGAATCTGATGTTATATTCATGGCATTTTATACTGAATGTGTAAGTAGACTGTTTTTAAGCTGCTCCAAAGCACTGCTTTGTTTAGTCAAATAAGTATGGGTATTTATTTATGTTGGTTCACAATAAGGTATGTTAAGGTAAAAAGTTTATGTTGTGGTCTTGGAGGACAGCATGAGGCCAAAGATAATTCAAACATTTGGTTAAAATTCTATGAATGTTTGTGTGCATATCTCATCATTGTTTCTCATTGTAGCAATCCCTCATTTTGGGGATGTTTCCATGGGCTAGTGCCTTTGCAGATGAAGCATTTTTGGCATATCTCGGCAAATCCAGAAAACTGTTACGAAGAAAAATGTATAAAATTATTCCTCTGTGTAAGCACATCTTCAATCATACTCACTTTCAATAATAGAGAGAACTGAGTAGTCGCTTCACTCTTC